TGTGTGTGTGTGTGTGTGTGTGTGTGTGTGTGTGTGTGTGTGTAGAACTACTATGAGAAAATGGAGAAGCGTCAGGAGAAAGAACGAGACAGCAGCAAGAAGGAGCACACCACCAAGCTCATCACTCCTCAGGTGGCCAAGGTGGAGCACACCTACAGACCAGGTAATCCACACCGGCGCTTCGCCGCGTGATGTCACATGTCGCGCTGCTGATCGAGCTCAGCTCTGACGCGGGTCTGTCTGCAGTTCAGTTCGCAGGCTCTCTGGGTAAACTGACCGTCTCCAGCGTCAACAACCCCCGCAAGATGATCGACGCCGTGGTGACGACTCGCTCAGACGACGAGGTTTTTATTTCTTTCCACATGCAAACGTTTTTATGACGACGCTGCTTCAGCTGCACTTTATTCGGAAAGTTTGCTTTATAAACAAAAATGGAGGCTCAGATGAGAGCGGGTTGTTTCTTTAGACCAGGTGACGATCAGGTCGCACAAGAACAAAACGCGTTGTGAGACCATGAAGCAGCTGCAGGATCTCCACAACTTCAAATGCTCTGAAACTTGGTGAAAGGTTTGATCACATCAGAAAAACAGAATTCTGATTAAGAGTCGGCTGGAAATGAGAATAAATGAGACGTTATGGCACTAAATCCATCAGCGTTTCCCTCACATGTGTGTTTGTATGTCGCTCTGAGAGAAACCTGAGTCTTTGCCTTTAGCAGACGCTGCTAACAGCCTGCGGCCCAGCAGCTCCACTCGAGGCTGGACGTACGGCACAGCTGGCAGTCGGTGTTACGGTGGATCAGTGTCCCTGTGAAACGAGCTTCAAATTGTCCTGAATCCACTTTATCCACCAAACCCAGCAGGCAGATAGAAACATGTGACACAGCAGCTGTTTGGTTCTGCTTTTCTGTTTTATCAGGTTTCAGCTCCCGTTGATCTTTTTGTTTCCGTTTTCTTGAAGGAGAAACGAGAGAAGCAGGTTTGGAATAAGAGGCGACAAATCCTCTACACAGTGGAGAAGGTAGGACGAGCAGAGCCGTGCACGACAGGATGTTCATGCAGACGGCAGGAAACGCTTCGAGAAATGTAACCTTCCTCCTCCTCTCTCCTCCTCCCCCTCCGCCCTGCAGATGTACAGTTTGCTGTTGGAGGTTCAGGACTTTGAGAAGTGCTTCGTCCAGGCGCCGGAGGAGGACCGCGAGGCTCTGCTGGAGCAGCACAAGAGCAACACGGAGCAGCTCTGCAGCTCGCTGCGGGAGAAAGAGTGGGACGACAGGTAGGAGGGGGCGGCCCTTACCCTGTCCAATCAGCGCCGTCACAGGCGGCTCAGCGGTGTAACGTTTTCTTCTCCTCGTCTGTGAAGAGTGAGTGACGAGCAGTGTGTGATGATCATGTCGGTGAGGAAGGGCAAGCGGCTCATCTCCCGGCTCCTCCCCTTCCTGCCCTCAATGCAGGCTGCTGCTGTTGTCATGGCAATTGCCCGCAACCTTCCCGCTTTAGCCAAGAAGGACAAACAGGACCAGGTAACCCCCGCAGGAAGTGACATCACTTTCACCTGTGTCTGTGCGGCGTTAACGCCTCTGCTCTCCGTTCAGGTGCTGTGCTGGTTGGTGGAGCCGGTTTCTGCAGTGATCCAGTCGTTATCGAGCGCCTCCCTCACAGATCTGCTCCAGGAGCTCCAAGGCAGCGAGGGCCAGCTGGCCACAGTGCTGCACAACAAGGTACGCGCCCCACAGCCCAGCCCGGACCAATCACAGAGCACGCGCCTCACTCCAGGTCACCCATCGCAACAGAAGGAAATGCCGTTTGTGCCACTTCCTGTTTCCAAAGTTTCTGAACTTTTTTTCTTCAACGTCACGACCAAACTCCAGATTTCAGCTGCTGCAGCTGCTCTGACAGAGTGTGTGATCACATGATTACACCTGAGCGCTCATTTCATTGTAAAACAAGCCGAAGAGTGTAAAGCTAGCATCACCTGCAGAGACGCAGCTGTGCTCGGAGTCCCTGAAGGATGGACGGGAGCGCTTACATCAGCGCACCTGCAGATCCTCATGCGCACAGTTTGTCCTTCCTGTTCCTCAAACGTCGCTGGGTTTGTGTCTCTCTGGGATTTTTATCCAGAGACCAAAGAAAACTTTTCTTCTCCTTCAGTATATCTGATGTTGTCAGAGTGATGCGTTGGCTCTGGGAGACGGTTTGGGGGGATTTTTGTTGCTGTTTTTTTTTTTGTTTGTTTGTTTGTTTTAACAAACTGATGTTCGTCCACGTGTGTTCACATGCACACGCCTGTTTCTGTCCAGTTTGGCGTGACGCTGCTCTACGTGATCCTGAGTGAAGGTGAGAGGATGCAGAGCTCCGACCCAAACTGTCAGCTCATGGACGACAATCGATGGTGAGCCGTGCGTGTGTCACTTATATAATTGTATTCAGAGGATTCACTGACGCCTCTGCTCGGCTACTTTTCATGTGCTGTGCAAAAGTCTTGAGCCACCCCTCGTTTTATATTTTTAAATTGGTCTAAGCAGCACCTGGTCTGTCAAAGATTTGAACAGTGTCGTTCTTGTACCTGAATGTTTTCACTGTTCAGCCACATGATGCTCAGCCAGTGCTGTGTCTGCACATAACGGACAGATGAACAGTTTCAGGTTTTGTCACAACACAGCTGCAAACCTGGCCTCTCAGTATGGCGTGCACTCAGAACAGAAGTGTGCAGCTTAACATTAAGTCAGCGTAAAAGGATTGCTACATGTAATAAATGATATTGAAATTAATTTGGAAGATTGTTTCAAATACTTTTGGTTTATTTTTATTAAAAAGTAGTTAAAAGTCTTCCAGAATTAACTGAACCTGTAATACCAGTTACCACCACAAGATGGTGCAGTGAGTCATGTGATCTTCATCGTCTGTGGTAAAGTCAGGTCAGCTGAAAAAAGATGAAGTCCTCTCCATACAGCTGCTGGAGAACGGCGCCCCCTGGTGGGGAAAGTTTGATGTGATTCGTGCTAATGACAGTGAGCATGACCCCGCCTCTCTCCTCCCTCAGGACTGAGTTGGTGTTTTCGGTGACGAGGGAGCTGCTCAGCGTCCCCTCCTCGTCCCTCTCTCCCCCCCTCTTCACCCCTCCCAACCTGCTCTCCCTCTTCTCGCGCTACGTGGACCGGCAGAGGCTCGAGCTGTTACAGGACAAGCTACAGTAAGTGAGCGGCGGACGAGCGGCGGCGAGAACACGAGAGGGGCGACGTTAAACTGACGTTGTATCCTGTTTCTGTTTCAGGATCTCTGCTTTGTCCAGGTAGAAGTTACTACACGCATCGACGCAGCCCCTCCCCCACCCACCCACCCACCCGATGCAGACCTTTTGTTTTCTGTGTGTGTGTGCGTGTGCGTGTGCGTGTGTGTGTGTGTGCGCGCACTCGAAGTGAAGCCACAGCGGATGATTTTAATCAAGCAGAATCTTTAGTCACTTTTGTTTTTCTGTGTTTAGTGTGTGTGTCTGTGTGCGTGCGTGCGTGCGTGCGTGCGTGTGCATGCGTGTGTGTGTGTGTGTGTGTGTGCGTGACAGCGACACTCAGCGTCTGAATGGGGACAAAAGTTAATGAAATCTGCATTTTTAAGTATCTTGTTTACGAATATGTCTGTGATGAACCTTCAGATTAAAGAAAGTATTTCTATTATATAAAATCTCGGCTCTTTCTGCACACGTGCAAACGCTCCGGACGATTCCGTCCAATCGCAGATCCAAAAACCATCAGTTATGCAAAAATGTGACGTTAAATGTTGTTGTGGTTAATTCACTGATATTTTTGATTTGCATGAGAAACAACATCAGGAAGAAACGACATTCTGCCCAGGTGAGTAATTCACAGGTAAAGCATACGAAGGTCACAGAGTGTGAGGGAACCTCAGGGTTTCCCCACGTCAGTCACCTCTTATCAGGGTTTTAGATAAGAAACCAACAAACAGGCCTGATGCCAACTGACCAATCAGGTCTCTGGCAAACGCCCACAGGACAAACTTGGGGGAGGAGCACTTCATGAGCGGACTCAGATCATAATCTGTTTTCTTGTAAAATTGTCGAGGACGGGTTTCTGGATCCAGCCCAGTACCTCTGACTCAGTTTATTTAATTTAAATAGCAAAAAATAAGTTGGTTTTTTTTTTTTATCATGAGCGCTTTTTATTGGTAACTTAGAGGGCGGATATTTCTCCTTATTAAACCCAGAGTTTGAGCCATGACCCAGAATACTCCGTCCGTCTGTCGGCGCCTCTGCGGTCGATTGTCTGGTCCAGCGTTGTGTCCTCGGCTCTCACCCGCGGCGCCCTGATGAAGACGGCAAAACAGAGAAGAGTTTCAGTCTGATGTGGAACCACATCTGTGTCCATGTCTGTGACGTAGGTGGGCTTCAGGTCTGACAGGTGGAGCACATTAACGGGTCAAATGAAAACGCTGCTGTGTGGGGGGGTTACAGTCTACGTTGAGCCAGAATGCATCAGATGTCAGGAAAATGAAATGTGATGCTTTCTTGTAACGATGCAGGAAATTTTCAAAGTATCTTAAAATTGAAAATGATCAAATGTGAAGTTTACAGAAGTTTTCAGACCCTCGGCGGAGAACTTTGGAGAAGCACCCTCGCTCGGATAGTTTATCCCAGACTTCCCAACAGATCAGGGGGAAATGTCTGAACTCGGGATGATGTCAGTGAATCTGAAGCTGACGACTTCCTGTTGTGTGCTGCTCTACAAAAAACCTCCTAAACTTCATTCAAATGTTGTTTGACGTTGATGTGTGAAAGTGATCCACAGCTGTCAGGCAGGACTGAGTCGTGCCACGAGTACATCATTTACCAGGAAACGGGAAACTGAACGAGCAGACGACACCCACAGCAAACCGCTTCAAACATCTCACCTGCACAGTTCACCTGAATGACCGAGGAGGAAAGCCGTGGATTTACAGCTCCGCACTCCATCAGCGCAGACTCTCTTCCAAGGCAGTCAGAGAAAAAACGCCACATCGGCGTTTTGTTGGGAAGGTTGACGGCTTCGGTGGAAACAGCGATGTCGCAGCCCAGCTGTCTGCACACTATGCCCGCGTGGTTCAGGTCCCAGACTGTGGACTCTGCGCTCACCGGTTTGGTTTCGTTCCCGTTGTGGATGAGAAGCTTCCCAGCACAGGCAGCGGAGTCCTCTCTGGCTCTGAGCACGCCATCGTCCAAAATCACATCTGAATCATCTGTTAGAAACAGACACGTCAAAATGAGGAGGGGCCAAAATCCACTCTGCAGTTACACCTGACCAATGCCACGAGGAAGAAGAGACGCTGACAGAGACGAGGGAGAGAGGTGCCATTTAAAATTGTGTTTTAAATATGAACAAAATATTTTACTAAAATGTAAAAACTCTAAAAAACATGTTTTTGTAAGGTTTTGAGCTACATGTGGGGAAAAAGAGAGACCTGTAGTCATGCTGGTGACCTTATGGGAGATCAGCACGAGAACAAAACAAACACAAACCTCTGCACAGAGAGCACACACATATTCGCATCACAACACCATAAACCGCGTGACAAGTAACTGGGTGAGAGGTGAGCTGAAGTAGCCACGGCCATCCAGCCAGTGTCTTTGTACCTCTGACAGTGAGCGAGAGCCTCCCGGCCTCAGATGAGAAGCTGTGGCTGAAGACAGTGTTGCGATAGGCGCAGCTGTAGGTCCCCTCGTGTGTTTGATTGGCAGCTCTGAACCAGAAGCTGGCCGAGTAATTGAACGCTGCTTGGGTCAAGCTGCGGTTTTGGTGGGCGCCGGTGAAGCTGAGGGTAAAGGTGCCGTCGCTGTATCGTGGCTCCACAGAGCAGCTGATGCTGAAAGAGTGGCCCTTCCACACCACGCCCTGCGTTTGGTTCCCAGTTGGAGAAGTCTCACTGCCGTCAGTGTAGAAACTGATGTCAGGAGCAGGCAGCACGTCTGTAATGACATCATCATACACCTGATGAGCGCACGCGCTTTAAACACTCGAACTGTGTCGTAGAAAACAAAGAAGCGTCGGGTTTCAAGTTATTGGATCAGATTTATGAGCTGATGGTGCAAAACCTTTATTAGGGAGGGGCGGGGCTAATGTGACTGAAAGAGGTGTTATTACCACCTTATTACTTATGTATTTGTGTGAGTTTCCCTTCTGAGCAGAAACATTGTGGGTGGATAGAATGAGTAATAAAGATTAATCCTGCAGACGTGAGCTTTGAGGTTAACTTTACTGGGTCTTACTTTACTCGTCTTATTCTGCGTCTGCGGCGATAATTCAATGAGACTGCAGCCGCCTTAACCTCTGATCATGACATGTAAATGCTGCAGGATGAAACCCACAAACTACATGAAACACATGAAGCATTCTCACCAGCTTTTGGCCATCTTGCTGCTTTGACATCAATGTTATGCAGTTATGTGGCGAAACAACGGGCGGCATCGTGTGAAGGTAACTCGACAATCACAGCGTGAGGCGTGAAGTTCGACCTCCTGACCTCATCAGCAAAGTGTTTACTGAGGTCATGATTCACAGATGCTTTTTATATATGTATAATTCTTTTTACAGCTGGATGAGTCGCCCCCTGGTGGCCACTGATGAAGACTACTGCTGGAGGATGGGTTAAACTCCGCCCACACCTTTGTGTGACTTCCTGTGTCACTGCCTCCCACTGTCTGGCCTACTCTCTGTATTATAATGTAAAAACATGTTTAATCAAAAGAAAACTGGTAAGACCATAGAGAGGAACCTTTACTGGCGGTCTCAGACCTTTGACCTTTGACCTATGTGAACAAAATCCGTCCATCGCACCTGCAGCTGAACTGACCCTCAGCTCACTGTACAACAAATGCCGTGCTGTTCTCACCTGAGCAGATCACCTCAGTGGTGAAATCTGAGAGGCCCTTCCTCACCGTTCCGCAGTCCGTGAGCGCTCGCTCAGAGCCGTCACAGTCCGAATAAAAGCTCCAGACGCGCAGAACTTTGGGCCGGTGCCTGACGTTTTTGACTGAAACAGCAGAGCCGCAGTCGAGCTGTCTGCACGCCACGGCGGCCTCCTTCAGGCTCCAGGTGCGCTGTTTGCTCAGCTGTCTCCACTCTGCCTCGTGCTTGAACCTCAGCTCGCCGGCACAACGGTTCCCTTTGCCAACCAACCTCACATCATTGGAAGCTGCAATGAAATCATCAGCAACAAGAATCAGACGTGCTGCAACACTGCAGGAGGACACGATGACTGCTGCTGGAAGTAAAACTCACCAAATAACCCTGAGAGGGCTGCACAGCGCCTCCATGCTGACAGAGGTTTGTAGAAATCTAGCCGCTGTGCAACAACTCGAGCTTAACTTTATCAGAAATGTTGGTGTTTGATTGTTCTAGCTCGCTCTTCTCAACGCCAGCGGCTATTTTGAATGGTTTCTACGTTTTGTCCTACATCGTGTAAACTGAGTGAATGCTCCCGTTTTTAAAATAAAGATGCTTTTTTATTTACTGTGCACGCTGCTCTGAGTGCAGAATCTATTGAGTTTAGCGACTGACTCGTGTGACTCTGTGATGGAGTTTAAAGTGTTTGTGTTCAATGATTGACAGACTGCTGTCGCAAACACTGACCCACTGACAGGCTTGTTCAGCTTTTAATCAGATCGGCCGTCTTGTGACTGTGGTGCACAGAGAGCATGAAGATGCAAAAGTACTGCTACATAACAACAGCACAGAAAGTGCGAGGGAGTCAGGAGTGTTTGCCCTCCAGCATACTTTCCAAATAAAGCTCTTTAACTGTGGACGATAGATGAACTTAATTTATCCCAGAGCTGGAAAACTCCCTCGGTTTAGTTTTTCTGACTGTGCATCAGAAACAAAGAGGAAGGTGACATGAATTTACTTCTGCCTGCAGTTTTTGCAGACTGTAGCTCAGCTTAGTAACAAACAGAAGAACAAATGACAGCCAAGGTGAAAACGTCACGATGGAAGAATTACAGCTGGGAGACGTGGTTATTCAGATTTAAAGTGAAAGGGACTCACCTGTGGAAAAATGTGCTCCTGCTGGCCTTAGAGCCCAGCTCAGCATCAGCACACAATAAAACACAAGTGAAGACCACGTGAAGACCCAGCTCTGCACTCTCATGTTGCTCTGACTTCACAGACCTGCACCAACACTCAGGTTTGTTGGCTCCCTCTGCAAATACAGAGTGAGTGCTCTGCTTTAAACACAGCAGTGTTTGCTTTGAGTGGTCAATGCTTCATGATCATAGTTCATAGTTCATATGGTAAACATGTTTACAGCCTGATACAGAAACAGCTGTGGTCTGTAATTTCCCCGTTGTAGCAGCCGTACAAAACATTTCTATATCTCTTCACAGTGTTGTTCTCAAACATGTTGTCTGCCGTGTGCTTATTAGTGTTGAGTAAGATGAGTTTATCGGGATGTTACGTATCAGCAGTCCAGGAGGTATCTGTGTTTAAAGCAGAAATAGTTTGCTGCTTTATAAGAAAGCCCTCCGCAAAGCCAGAACATCTTACTATTCATCACTGATTGAAGAAAATAAGAACAACCCCAGGTTTCTCTTCAGCTCTGTAGCCAGGCTGACAAACAGTCAGAGCTCTGTTGAGCCAACCATCCCTTTAACCTTAACTAGTAATGACTTCATGAACTTCACAAATAACATTTTCATTACAGAAAAATTACCCATAATAAACCATCTCTGCCATCAACTGGAGCAGATAACATTACAGTAAAGTGGAGACAGCATTACAGTGCATTGCTTAACTGTATGAAAGGTGAACCATATGAGGACGATTCTGACATGAGCGATGAAACAACAAGTGTAAAAACACATGAAGTAGATGAAGCTGTTCATAGGTTATTGAGAGTAAAGCTTATTGTTTAGATCACATCACTGCAGAACATTAAAACACGCTAGTTTAAGGCTAGCTCCTCTTCTAGCGCTCTGTTTCATTGGCTTTATGATTCATGCCATGCTACCAGACTCAGTGCTGTGTAATGTCCTTGTTCCAGTTATAAAGGACAAAGCTGGAAAAGTGAGTTGTCTGGATAATTATAGGCTGACTGCACTAGCCAGTATTTTTTCTAAGGTGCTGTGTTCATCTCTTCCCTGGATCAAAGGCATCAATGAAACACATGAGGACAAATGAGTTTTTGGTTCTATGCAAACTCATGATTTCCTTGAGTGCATATATGCAGATGTCAGTGCTTTGGTTTGAAGCCAAACAGCCTCTATGGATCTTGTGCTCAGAGCTTGTTC